AGGAGTTGCTTGTATATTTTTGAGATTAATCCTTTGTCTGTTGCTTCGTTTGCTATTATTTTCTCCCAATCTGAGGGCTGTCTTTTCACCTTACTTATAGTTTCCTTTGTTGTGCAAAAGCTTTTAAGTTTCATTAGGTCCCATTTGTTTATTTTTGCTTTTATTTCCAATATTCTGGGATGTGGGTCATAGAGGATCATGCTGTGATTCATGTTGGAGAGTGTTTTGCCCATGTTCAGTTAGGGTATTCTTTTAGGCAATGGAGAGCCCTGGGGCTCTTCCTTCTGGGGGCCTGGTTTTCCAGTCGGTATGTCATTTCCATAGATACCGGGCATAGAGCTCAGAGTCCACAGTCTGGCCCAAGATGGAGTCCTGCTTTCAAGATAGAGCCTGTTCCGTTTCCTCCTTCAATTTCACCACCCATAAAAAACCACTAGCATTTTAATATTCCTTTTAAATATTTTTCTAGGCATAGCTTTTTAGCATAGTTACAATAGTTGTGTTTACATTTCTACATACTGATTGCATACTTTGTGTTTATTAATGCTATAAACTTTTGGAAAGCATTATTTTAAATAGGTTCACATTATATAACTATGTCACTGTACTATAGCTTATTTGACATAACCAGTATTTGATACTTAGGGTTTTTCTGCTTTCTTCTTATTGTAAAGATTATTTGTTACTCTGTCAGACTTCATGACCTGGTTTGTCTGGTCATCTGCCCTCAAAACATCTTATTATCTGTAAGATGGGCATAATGAGGAACAAGAATTTTAAGGTAAGTGAATGCAAGTAACAGTGATGACCACAGAGTAGGTGTTTAGGAAACATCAGATGGCTTGGGATTGAAACTGTTGGAACTTGAGGAGGGCTAATAGCCGTCCTGATGCTGTTCCCTGGCTGTAGGCAGCACCTTATGCAAGTGGACTCGGTCCAGCGCTGGATGGAGGACCTGAAGCTCATGACGGAGTGTGAGTGCATGTGTGTCCTGCAGGCGAAGCCCATCAGCCTGGAGGAGGATGCACAGGGTGACCTCATCCTGGCAGGTGGCCCTGGCCCTGGAGACCCTCTGCAGCTGCTGCTCAAGCGGGGCTGGGTCATCAGCACTGAGTTGCGCAGGATCGGGCAGAAGCTGGCCCAGGACCGCTGGGCGCGGGTCCACAGCATGAGCGTGCGTCTGACCTGCCACGCCCGCTCCATGGTCAGCGAGTACAGCGCTGTCAGCAGGAACTCCTCGCAGGAGATGGGCCAGGTCGGTTGCCTGGCCTGGGCACGGGTGGGCACTCGGAACTGGGAGTGTCTTTTAAAAGAGTGGGTCTGAATTGCTTAGAGTCTGAAGTCTTCCTGCCCCTGGGAACTTCCTCCCCGTCCAGTGAAGCAGCGGAAGACAGTGAGGACCTTTACTGAGTATCTGCTTTGTGCTAGGAATTGTGCTAGATGTTTTTATACACATCTCATTTAACTTATACAATCTGTGAGGCCAACATAACTTGTGAGGCCACAGTGCAAGACACTGAAATGGTTAAATATACCCACTTTAACGCCAGACTCGCTGGGTTCAAATTTCAGCTCTGTCTGCTGTGTGACAAGTTACTTCTCTGTGCCCCAGTTCCATCATCCTAATGAGTATAATCATAGAATTTATTTCATAGATCTGTTGTGATGACTGAGTTCTAATTAAATTAATTAAAAATATTAGCTAGTATTATTGTCCTCATTTTATAAATGTGGAAATAGAAACTCAGAGAGTCTAAGTAACTTGCCCAAAGTTATGCAGTGAATGGTATAAATGGGATTCAACCTACAGCTTTCTAATTTCAAAGCCCATGATTCTGAATCTTCTTCAGGTCCAAAGTGAGCCATTGAAAATCCCCCTTTATTTCTGTTTCCTCTGGCATCACTTTGCACCTTAGTTCCCTACCCTTTTCCTTGCCCCCCATTGCACAGTAAACTTCTCTTCACTCTTTGAAACCCAGCTCAAATGCCCCTTCCTCTCTGAGACTTCCCAGATCCCCCAGCATACTTAATCACTCAGTTTTCTTTCCTTGAGCTCCCAGAGCAGCTGATGATGAACTCTGTTGCCATCCATTTCGCACAGTTGTAGTTTATGTGCCTGTTTTCCAAATCGGATGATTTGATTCTTCATCTTTATGCCCCAGAGCGTCCAGCTCAGCAGTTGGTCTTCGACCAATGCTTATTGAATTGAATAAAATTGATCTATTTTTCTGCAGATTGAGAAGCTGCTAATGGAGAAGTGTTCAGAGCTGTCAGCGGTCACAGAGAGGTAAATCTGGCCCCTGGGTGAATCTGGACTGCGTCTGCCATCCTTAGGCAGAGGAAGGCGCTGGCGTCTGTCTCCTTCCATGGGAACAGTGGGGCTGGGGAGGGCTGGTGGTGGCCTGGGAGCTTCCTTTTGCTGACTTCTAGCAGCAACCTTAAGAGACTCCCTGGGGATTTTCTGCTCCGCTTTCAGGCATGGGAGAATGTAGAAGGCAGAGGAGAGGCCTGGCCATAGGAAGAAAGAGGATTCATGAGGGTTGGTAGCAAGAAAAGGTTTCCCACAGCTTTGAGAAGCCCCCTGATCTCCATGGTCAGGCGAAGTGAAAGCAGACACACACAGCTTATCCTGACATCCGCACTGACCACCCACACAATCACAGGAGCACACTCACACCTTCTCCATATCTCACGAACATAAACACACGACGACACTCAGACACATATGCACACACAGCCTGGTCTGTTTGCACGCCCAAGAGTGTGTTGACACTCTCCCTCTTGCTTTACAGCCCCCAGGCCCTGGAAGAAAAACCTGGAACTTGACATTCCTAGGGCTGGGTGGGCTCTTCGGACTTTCAGCGTGAAACATTCTCAGGCCTTAAGGTGGTTTTAATCTTGATCTCCCTGGGTGAGGAGAAAATCCTCAAGGCTCCTGTCTGCACCGCTGCAGGCAGCCATTTCTTAAAGGGACACAGGCATCGCAACACACCTTCAGAGTGGGCACGGCACACCAGCATCCTTCCCCTGCAGCTCTCATCCCCCATCCCTAGACACTGATGGTTGATTCTCCCAGGGAGAAGCCCAGAGGTATGGATTTAGCCACCTTTGGGTGGCCTTTCTTCCTGGTGACTTGCCCTGTTAGCTCCCATTTTAGGCCAGCTCTTCTCGGATCTGCGTCTGCCATCCTTAGGCAGAGGAAGGCGCTGGCGTCTGTCTCCTTCCATGGGAACAGTGGGGCTGGGGAGGGCTGGTGGTGGCCTGGGAGCTTCCTTTTGCTGACTTCTAGCAGCAACCTTAAGAGACTCCCTGGGGATTTTCTGCTCCGCTTTCAGGCATGGGAGAATGTAGAAGGCAGAGGAGAGGCCTGGCCATAGGAAGAAAGAGGATTCATGAGGGTTGGTAGCAAGAAAAGGTTTCCCACAGCTTTGAGAAGCCCCCTGATCTCCATGGTCAGGCGAAGTGAAAGCAGACACAGCTTATCCTGACATCCGCACTGACCACCCACACAATCACAGGAGTACACTCACACCTTCTTCATATCTCACATACATAAACACACGACGACACTCAGACACATATGCACACACAGCCTGGTCTGTTTGCACGCCCAAGAGTGTGTTGACACTCTCCCTCATGCTTTACAGCCCCCAGGCCCTAGAAGAAAAACCTGGAACTTGACATTCCTAGGGCTGGGTGGGCTCTTCGGACTTCCAGCGTGAAACATTCTCAGGCCTTAAGGTGGTTTTAATCTTGATCTCCCTGGGTGAGGAGAAAATCCTCAAGGCTCCTGTCTGCACCGCTGCAGGCAGCCATTTCTTAAAGGGACACAGGCATCGCAACACACCTTCAGAGTGGGCACGGCACACCAGCATCCTTCCCCTGCAGCTCTCATCCCCCATCCCTAGACACTGATGGTTGATTCTCCCAGGGAGAAGCCCAGAGGTATGGATTTAGCCACCTTTGGGTGGCCTTTCTTCCTGGTGACTTGCCCTGTTAGCTCCCATTTTAGGCCAGCTCTTCTCGGATCGCTCGGAAGCCAGAGGATGAGCCAGTCTTGGAATACTTCCATTTCTGACTCCCCTGGAGCTGATAGCCTCTTCCCAGGCCACTTGCACCACCACCAGGCCTGCTACAGGCCCAGATTTGGCCCCGGAAATGGCTCTGGGCTAACCGCCTGCCCCTTCTGGTGACCCATCGAAGGTTTCTTTCCCTAGGTGCCTCCAGGTGGAGAATGAGCACATCCTGAAGTCGATGAAGGCCTGTGTGAGCGAGACCCTGAGCACTCTGGGCGAGCACTTTGGCCAGCTGCTGGAGCTGGCCCTGACCCGGGAGGTGCAGGTCAGTGCTGGCTGGGCAGCAGAGGAGGGCCGAGCGGGTCTGCAAGGCCTGGGGAAGCTCCGGAGTGGCCTTTCTTGGGGGCCATCCTTCTCAGATTGCCAACGTGAATTCCAGCACCTTAGAGACTGGACTGTCAGAGCTTAGCAGAGGCTCGCTGAGCACCTAGCCCAGCTCTGCATTTTCCAGATGTGAAAATTGGAACCCAGAGAGGGCAGAAACTGACCTAAGGTCACACAGCAAGGCGGTGGCAGAGTCCACCATCTCCTAATTGTACTTTCAGTATTGCTCCCACCACCTTAAATCTTCTCTGTTGAGTTATTGTTCACAGTGCACAAAATGAATCTTTATTGTCCCCAAAGACTTAAGGCACCTGCAGGGAACAAGTCAATTCTGGATATCCTGGCAGTATAGAAGAATCTAGAAAGGTCAGATAGTCTAGCTCCTGCCTTCAGGCAGTCTGATGCTTGATCCCAGAAAGAACGTAGGCTTTGGAACCTGACAGATCTACTTTCACATTGTGGTTCACCGTGAGACCTTGGTCAAGTTCCTTCATCTTGTAGCCTCACTTTCCTCATCTACAAAGTGAAAATCTTCCCCAGAAGAAAAGTGAGAGGACTAAGTAAACAATATTTGAAAAGCACTTAGCACAGAGTATAGGTTAAATATGTGTTATTTCCTTCTCTTGCCTTTTCCTATTTTAAAAGCCTCCCAGAAAAGCTGATTCCATACGGTTTTCATTAGCAAAGGTATTTACATGTTATTTATAGTTACAGAAATATTGTGTTACATATTTGCCATTCTTTTCCCACCATCAAGTAAAAGCTTTCCACAAATAACAAATCCCTTCCCGTGTCGGCTTCTCTCCAAACGCAGCCTTTTTACCTAACCCAGCATGTCCTTTCTCTTTTTCCTGTGTGTCTGGCTCATTTTGCACACAGCACAGGCCCTTCTGATCTGGCTCACTTGCTGGTCAGGGTAGCTGGCCCTGTGCAACCTCTCCCTCCCAGCCCAGAAGGGTCTGTGAAGTTCGCTCTCCCTGTCCCCAGAGCCTGGGACAAGGGGAAGGAAGGACCGGGGCTCTGGTGCTTAAAGCTGATGAGCAAATGCTGACAGTCGCATGTACGGTCAGGTAGTAGTTCCAGCTGGGGCCGCTGTCCCAGATGGAACCATCAAGAACCATCAAGTCCGGAGGGACCCCTTGGAACATGGGAGCTAAAGTGGGTGAAGAAGTTGGAGACGTGATGAGCAGGGGTATTGAAGTCAGTGGTAGAGCTGAGGGGAGCCTGGAGGAACGTCTGAGCAGGAGCACAGGTGCCTGTTGATGCTTTTTATGCCATTTTGACACTCTTTTGCCTGGCAGTACCAGGTTCACTTAAAAGGGCTGAAGTGGAAGAGTTCTGTTGGGTTGTGAACAGAAGCCAGCAGGGTTTGCCAAGTAGTCGGTCCTTAGCTGTTTCTACTAGCAGGCAAAGGGCGGGATGTCTTTTTGATGCTCTAGATCACAGAATCCTGCGGAAAAGCTCCTTAGGCTGTCAGGAACCAACTTGGGCATTGTGGACTACGTATCTGATTTCCCGGGGCACCTGGATCCATTCTGTTTTTCCTCAACCTGACCTTGTTGAGGTGGAATTCCTGGTCTGGTGCTTCGGTAACCCATGAAGGCTTAATTTTGAATTTATGCTGAATCTGCTTCTGTGACTTTAACCCTCATCCTACCGCTCTTGTTATTGTAAACATACATAATGACCTGCCTCAGGGAGATAACCTGAGCTGCCTGACTGTAAGGAATTGAAACTAACACATTCCCCTGCCTGAGGCTTGCCCATTCTAGGGAACATTTGCTAGGATTGAATAGTCTTTTTACTGTTTCCTCAGCCCCTTCCCATCTCTGGTTCATAAAAGAACCCGACAACCAGGCACCTTTTCAGTGCTACTGTGCCATCTTCTCAGTCAGCTGCTCCCCAATAAAATCCCTTCCTTCCGAATAAAATTCCTTCTAGCACCTTGTCTCAGATTCATAGACTGATTGTGCTGCTAGTTTTGGACTTGGTAACCCTTCTGCTTCCCTGCCTAAATCCTGCCCCGTCCTCAGATCTGCCCACCTGCATCACTGATGCTCAGCCTGAGAGCTGTTGGATCCACTGCTCCTGTCTTAGAACTGAGTCCCTCATTGACCCCCCTCCCCTGGTGGAGGGGGCAATGTCTGCCCTCCATTCCTCTGTGTATTTGTTAGTTTCCTGACAACTCCTCCCTTCCTTCCCGCAGGTCCCATGGTGTCCTCTAATCCCTCCTATGGGCTGAGCTTGCTGTGCTCATATTTCTTGGCTGATCTTTAGCTTCTTTTTACATTAGAAAGTTTCCATACAGGACAGTGGTGACATAAAAAGATACACCACCTGAAGGCAGGATAATCTGTGTTCAGTGTTGTGAGCATGTGTTTCCTGAAGAGGTGACTAAAATACTGTTCTCTATAAGTTAGGATTCTATGCTTGCAGTTGTTATTAGTTGCTAAGTTGTGTCTGACTCTTGTGACCCCATGGGCCCCCATAGGGCCCCAGCCAGGCTCCTCTGTCCATGGGATTTCCCAGTAAAAAATACTGGAATGGGTTGCCATTTTCTCCCTCAGGGGATCTTCCCAACCCAGGGGTCACACCCATGTCTCTGGCATTGCAGGCGGATTCTTTATTCTTTATCGTCTTGACATAATTAAAATTAAGTTTATTTCTTTGTATCAGGATTTCTCTTATGACATGCTATTGTGAGTCTTCTTAAAGGTCCTCACATATTCATAGTATTTCTTGTCTGACCTGTTCCCATAAACAAGGATTTTGGTTTTTTCTGTTCACTAATACATACCTGCTCACAGTAGGCATCCAATAAAGATTTATTAATGTGTGAATGTTAAGCAGTGTGCTCCAAACTTACACAGTTACAGATCTTTTTTTATTCTTAAAGTACCCATTCACTTATTCTGGGATACTGGTGTTTCAGGAAATGCAGTTTGGGAAAGTTCCTTTTGTGCACAAGGGAGCCACATAGGCTCATAAGCAGAGAAACAGTGCTCTTTCCACCACAAATCACAATGCATGGTAGAATGGTGCTTGTAAACAGGGCAGTGGTAACCCAGCACTAGTTTGCATTGGTCTGCTCCATCCTGGAATGTTATGTCAAGCTCCAGATCCTAGATGTGTTATTGCCAACGATTGTGCTTAGGGAGGTCCCTAGAAGGATGAGGACAGGCCAAAGATTAAGATATATGGGGACTGGGTGGAGGAGCTGGGATGCTTAATCTTAGAGTGGACACTCTGTTACCTCCAAAGAGAAGAAGTGAATTTATAGGACATTCCATGAAAAAAGGAAGTTGGCAAAGCAATAGGGCTGCCCCATAGAGAAAGGTCTGCCTTAGGAACTGGCGATCACTGAGTCATGCCAGGAAGGACATTGGCAGTAGATGGAGGTTGAATTTAATGACTTGCAAGGTTTCTTCTGATCTCGATAGCATATACATCTATGAATGTGAGCCTTGTGGAGTAGTAGGAGCATGGCATTTGGAGGCATATCAGGGTTCACATCCTGACTGTGCTGCTTACTGGATCTGCAGACTTTGAGCCAGTTACTTACTTTGCTCAATTTCTCATCTCGACAGTGGGTTGTTGTCGGTGTTAAATAAGACAGCACAGGGCTAGTTGGTGGCACTCTGCTGATTGTGTCTGTAGCTTTACTCACTAGAGACCCAGCTACCTTAAGAGAAACTAACAACAGGCTTTGCTATAAAGAGCCTCCTAATCACCTAATTACTAATTATTTATTGAGATAATTGAACTACTTGGTGGGCATAGAAATTTAAGGCTTACCTGTTAGGAGTCACCAATGGAAAATTAATGAGTATTAAGGATTAGACTTTCTTGGCTTAAAGGATTAGCTGTGTGGGAGGTAAGAGGAAGAGACTTAACAGAAGTTGATTTACTTGAAGACGACTTCTAGGGGACTCTATTGAATAGATCACCTCTCACCTGTGCCTTTAAATTTCTTGACTCAGCTTCATGTGGATAGATGTTTTATATTCATCCCATCAATCAATATTTATTTTAGTTTAAAATATCACCTTTATTCTAACAAAACTGGTTCGTGTGTTTCTCTCTGACTCTGTGGCTGCGTGAACTTAAAACTTCATCTCACCGCTAAGTTTCCCCTCCCAGTACCAGGCAGACCTGGGCAACCTCAGACCTCACCTGAAGCATAAGTATGTATCTTGTGGCAAAGGTCAGGTCAGAGGGATGCTTCCTAAGAGAAGAGAGGCAGGCGCCAAGCTGAATATACCCGGTTCCTTTTTCCAAACTCACTAATGCATCCCTACCTTCTTGGCAAGTGACATGGAGGGGCAGGGAGTGAGGCCAGCAGAAGTGGTGTTGCTGAAACCCCTCCCTAGCAGAGCAGGAGGACTGGGGACCAAGCATCATGCCTGAGTGTTCACAGTTCTTGTCCTGTAGCCTTATTGATCTCATCCATCCACCAGTGGTCAGGCAAGGGTATCCTGGGCCCTTTGGAGGAGGAGGTCAGCTCCCTATGAAGCCATCTTTTCCCACCTTCAGGAAGCTATCCCCCCCCAGATAACAAACTCTACTCCTTTGGAATCCCAGTGGGCAATTTAAACTTGGAAATGACTCAAAATACTACATTCCTTAAATTGACTGTAAGATTTTGTAACTAAAGGTCATAATTTGCTTTCCTGTTCTTTTTCCCACTCTTAGATTTTGCTCAGCTATGGTGCCTAGTATAGGTAATCAGAGGCTGCAGTGCGATTCGACAGCAAGGTAAAGGTAATCCAAACATAATTGCCAGGAGGAGAACTATCAGGATGTTCAAAATTTTAAAATGGTCTTCTATCTCATTTCAAAGTTCCCTGGGAAAGAATAAAGTGAAAGAAAAAAACCTGAAAGCTGAATCCTTTTACTCTTAGGAATAATTCAAAGTCCCCAGTTCTTAGATTAATAGGATTC